TCCTCTCTCTCTCTCTCTCTCTCTCTCTTCTTCCTTAAAATTTACGCTAATTTGAATAATCTTTTGAGGTTGTGGATTGAGAAAGCTTCTGTGAGGTCTTTCTGTACATTTTAAGGTGAGCATATCCATGGTGTCTCAATTTTATTGATTTACTTGATTGCTTCTATGAATATTGTATTTCTTTTAATAGAGTTTTGTTTGATGTTGTTTTTTAATGAAATTTTGAGCTTTGTGTTGATTATTATGCTTTGTTGAATAAGCCCTATGATATCACAGATTTAATGGAAGTTATTTGTTTACTGAAACAAATGAATATATCATGTTGTTTAGTTATCGAGGAAAGAAATTTGTGGTTTCCCGAGTCTTATTATTGAGAACTTTCTATGAAATCGTACTAACTTCGATTTTGGCCCATATTCCTTCTTGTTCTTTTTTTCTTGTTCTACTACTAAGTCTTTTTTTTGGGTGGTAAGTTCTACTACGAAGTTTTATTTGATAAGTGATGAGGTTTGTGATGGTGCTTGTATGTTTGATGCCAATACTCAATTTTGTTGCAGATGATGTGTTGAGCGTTATTGTGTTATTTTACAGGAGTTTCCTGTACAATTACTTTTTGAATTTGTTTATTTTTTTGAACTTGAGTGGAGTACTATTGAATAAAGAGATATTCAAGAAATTAGTCATGGATAATCCCATACAAGACTTGGTGAATGAAAGTGGAGAGGATTTCACATTTTGAATTGTGGTAGGTGTTGGAGAATTTAGTGATAGGCCTGGAAAAGAATTTTCAAGGGAAATCATGGGAGATGTTCCTGGGAAAGAATTTTCAAGGTTTCTGATGCTTTACATACTCCATGGCCTTCTTAATCACTTATTGCCCTAGAATCCATGAGTTGTTAAAGTTAATGAGCTTGTATATCCTCGAGAGAGTGAACAGTCCTATTATTGGGTTGTCTTCTAGAATCTCTACAAAGTAGTCGTTTATGCGTGAGATCATCTTTTGCTTATAGTGCTCATCCATGTATGTTGTAACCATTTATTCCCCAAAAAGAAAAGTTAGTATAGTGTGGACAAAGTTCCATCAAATGGCGATTCATCGTGATACTTATTACTTGGATAATTATAGCTATTTTGTCGTTCTATGATAATCAATTTTTGGATGATGTACTTGGCATGATGACCCGAATGGACGTGCATGGATAGAGGGGAAAGGGAGGAGGCAGAAGAAGAGTGGCATGTGCAGAGGTGGCACCACAAGGCGTGTAGGAGGTAGGGTTGCTAGGACAACAAAGCCATAGGAGATGGAGTGGTAAAAGTTGTGAGGAGAGTTATATGTGTGTTTGTATCCTACTGGAGCACAATGTGCACTTGCTCCCTCAAAACACCTGCGTAGGAAGATTTTCTCAATCTGAAATATCGGTATCCACTTTAGCATCACTAGATAAGTATATTTTTTAACAAAAAAATAAAGGATTTTGAGTTCCTAACTACTCAGTTCTGAACATTTAAAAATAGGATGGCCTCTGTTCAATCTGAGGATGTTATTCTCTTCAGCTAATATAAAGGACTGTTTTGATGGTAGTATTTTGGGGAAATTTTGGATGGATAATGCAAAGTTTTGAGTATTTTAGAAAGCTAAAATTGAATTTCACCTGATTGAGAAAGATACAATATGTGGAGGAAATGGTATGCCACTGATTGTAATTTCCTTGGTTTATCTCCTTGTGTCATTGTGTGCCAAGTTTCTCAGCATTCCTCATGACTCTAAATTATGTCGTACTATGGCTCAGGAAACCATTACTATTGTTTATTTCTTTGCGTTTTTCTAATAACATCTGACTTACAAACAAAGAACAAATCTGACTTGAGATGTTTATTTGTGCAAAAGAGCCCATATGAATCATGTCCTAATTTTGAACTATTTTATAGCTCTTAAAAATCCTAGAGAGTCGATAAAACCTCCTTGCATCCTAAATGGTGCACTCTGGCATTTTTTACAGAATCCAATAAACAAAAGCCTCTAACTATTGGGCTAGCCATTGTGGAGCTTTAGGGTCACATGATTCAAGGGATTTAGCGAGGTCTTCATCAAAACCAAGTTTGTTGTTGTATTGACTCATTTGAGAAAGATACAATACGGGAAGGCACCAAAGAGCTCTTTTGTCAAATTATGACTTTGTTCCCGTCTTTGATATGTTCAGGAACCAAAAGTAATGACTTAAGCTAACATGTTTTGATCCAAGAAGCAAGTTAATTGATGGTTTCATGAGAAACAATGAATTAATGACAGCGTCTCCATTGTTTCTAAAACCTTTTTTCATTTATTTTTTTGTAAATTCGAAAGCTCCAAATTTTTGTTTTTGTTGAAATTTTTCATGATCAATAAATTTGAGAAATCAAATCAAATCCAAGTTTTGGAGTTAATTCTTTGTGAAATATCAAGAGAGGTTACAAGAGAATATCTTCCTTTCTCTATATTGTCGACTTGTGCTTAGGTATTTGATTATTTGAGTTTATGGTCATGGACATGGTGCGATCAGCCATATGACATTGGGAACACTATAATCTTTGTTGTTGTGTTACATGTGTTGTATGAAATGTGATCTACCACTTTCCTAAACAATCCAAACTTTGAATTTAAATATCATTCAGATTTTTCATGTTCAATTGATTTTAACATATACTTTATATCATCATCGCCATCACCATCTGAGCCTTATCCCAACTGCTTGGGTTCGCTACACGAATCTTGTTATGCCATTCCGCCCTATCAAGAGTCATACCTTCAATCTCACCATATATCATCATATCTTTTCTCACTACTTCTATCCATGCCCTTTGGTGCCTTCCCGTTGCTTTTTTAGAATCTTCCACTTGAACCAAATCACCTCGTAGATATTGTTCTGCGTTGATGTTGCACATGACGAGACCACTTCAGTCTACCTTTTCCCATTTTATCGTCTACTGGAGCTACCCATAAGTTCCCACAAATGTATTCATTCCGAATTCTATCCTTATCTTGCCACTCATCCATATCAACATCTTCATCTTAGCTTTAACCATTCAGTATGTTGTTTCTTGATTGCCCAAGTACCCAACATGCTCTCCTATAATTGTGACTTGTCTCATAGCTGTCCTATAGAACTTCCCACTCAGTTTTATTGATATGCGATGATCACATTAGACTTCGTAAGCACATCTGTACTTCCTCCACCAAGCTCTAATTCTATGGGCAACATCTTTGTCAAAATCTCTTTTCTCATGGATTATTAACCTAAGATATTGAAAATAGTCTCTTTTTGATATTTCTTGGCCATCAATGATCTTAACTAATTCCTCATTTTTACTCCTATTTGTACTTAACTTACATTCCATATATTTTATATTAGTCCAGCTAATTTTGAAACCTTTAGAGTCTAAAGCATTCATCCAAAGTTCTAACTTTGTTTTTATTTAAGATATATAGTTATACGCTTGCGTACATTGTTAGAATTGAGTTATCTGCACAAGCTTGGTGAGCTGGTCTAGAGAAAGAAGAAAAAAATTAGATGTATCAAGATTATATGTAATTTACTTGACTAGGTATCTTCTGCAAGCTGGCAAAAAATACTTCATTTGTTTGGTTATTGTATGAGTAGTTGTAGACTTGGTAGGTCACTTGAGCTCTTATCTGAAATAGTAGAGTACTACAGTTACATTTGCATAGGGGGTGCCAAGCTGGTCCATTCTCTTAGTGAGATGGACTCTAAGGAAAAAATTTCATGGATGATGGGCTATGTAACTTGGTTATGCAGGAAGTACGATAATTACATTTGCATTGAGGATGCCAAGCTGGTCCATTCTCTTGGTGTGACATTTTTCTGAAGAACACATTGAGATGGACGCTAGGGAAGAAATTTCATGGATGATGTGCTATGTAACTTGATTACACAGGTCCTTGGTTTTGGCATGTGTCATCACACCACGTATATAAAACATGTGTGGCATTTAGAAAATCAGAAACTCTTGCTTACCTTTTTTTCTTGTAATGCCGCCAATAATATTTAAAGTTACTTTTTAAATGCTGATCCAGGAGGGGAAAACCAATGTATAGGGGTAGGATCTAGATATTTACTCCTTTAGATCAATGGCTAGGCATTGACTAATAAGGTGCTTAGAATTGACTGGAAAGAGCAGATCTACGAGGTAATAAGTGACTCTAAGGACTTGAAGAAACTACAAAAACAGAGTAGGGTCTCAGGCTAGCCCACTATAGTGCCGGCCTCAAATTTGAGGACTAGAATCAGGGTTAGTGGAGTTTGTGTAGCCTTGTCCAAGTAAAATGTTTGTTACGTACTTGCATCTGTGCAGATCGATGCCTAATTGGTGAAGATATAGTGCTTTAGTTGGCTGTGTGCTAAGTGATGTCGTTTAAAGGTTTTCCCAAGTATTTGCCATTCTTATGGTTCTGGGCTAGGTTTGGCTGGAAAAGGTAGTGTGGGCTTGGGGTTTGCATTCTCAAGGGTTTTGCAGCAAAGATAAGAATTCCTATAGTTTGAGATTATGATGCTCGGGAATGTCCTAGTTTTGGAGTTTGCACCATTTGTGCATGTTTGGATTGGAGTAGTTGGTCCAACCTGTTGGACAGGGAACAAGGCCTACTGCTTTTGTTCCATCTTAAAAATGGAAAACCTCAGGACAACTGAAACCCACACAAGTTCAGGGAAGTAGAATGAAAGTCCTAAACCATTTCGATTTTGAGGGAAGGAGAGAGTAGTTATGTTTATCCCCCTTTTCTGAGTGTGGGTACTCATCCGTTTTCTTTGTACACAAAGGGTATTTCCTCTCTGGTGTTCACAATGCTATTGGTTGTTCTCTGTGTTCTTAAGTTCTCGTCATCGTTGTACCATGGTTTGAACATCTTTGCTTACCCCTCTTATTTTTGGATGCCAAAAATTTGTGGTCTGGTATCAGCTTCTGATAATATGCTCTACTTAAAAAAAAAAAAACATGTTCTGTGTTTTGTGGATTTCTTCCTAAAAAAGTGTTTCCCAAGTGGTTTATTTACCCATGTTGTTGACTTAATTATAATGGGTTAATTGAGTACTTGTTTTTTTGTTTCCAAAAGACAATGAACACTTTTTCCTTCTTTTTATGGTTTGGCAGTTTGCTCACTGACTTTTATAATTAATCTTTATTCAATGACTTACAGATTCATCAGCCATACTGAGGAACTCTGTGTTGAAGTGTTAAGAAGGTTTGCAGTTTAGAAGAACACTTCTAGACGATTGCAGGTCCTAGAGCTTCTCAGCGGTGCAATCTGGATGCTACTATAGTTTGGTTTCCATAAATTCACATTCTCAGTAGTCCTTGTTTTGTTAGTTATTTTCATCTCAACCCGACCAAGAAGCATACAATGTCCTACGACGATGTGGAGATTGAGGACATGGAATGGAATGAAGAGCTTCAGTCTTACACATATCCATGCCCATGCGGCGACCTCTTCCAGATAACAAAAGATGACCTCCGAATGGGTGAAGACATTGCCCGGTGCCCAAGTTGTTCCCTTTACATAACGGTCATTTACAATCAGGATGATTTCATGGATAAGAAGGATACGACTGGTTTGGAGAAGCCAAAACAAGCAGCAGTGGTTGTTGCTTAGAGATTCGGTTCAGGGCATTGAGATTCATTTTACCTGTTGTTGCGGTTGTTGCGGAAAGAAGAAAATAAGAAAGAGCTTTGCTAATACGTTTTGTGAGACATAAAAGACCATATGCATTTCTACTATTGAGGCGATAAGAGGGATTTTTCATCCATTTGAGTGATTATATTGCTCTCTCTAGTGGGAGTATTCCTCCGTTCACTAAATTTAACGAAGGAACTGCATGTGGGAAATTTTGGCGATGTAGCCTCTGCAACATAGCCACTAACCTGATAAATAAAAAATAAAAGAAATAAACTCACTCTTAATTTGATTGAAGAAATAGTGGCCAAGTTTAGACAAGAGACTGTACAATCTTTTAATAGGTAAATCCAAGTAACTCGCATCTTAAATTTAATTTTGAAAATAATCATTTGATAAGTTCCAAATGAATTAATAGCTTAGCTTATTTCACCGGTGGGGTATATAATGGGATTGTATACTATAAGACCATTTATCTTCTAATGAATAGATGTTTGGCTTGGGATTTATCACAGTGTTTTAAGTAATTTTTAGCTGGGCTTTGAGTTTACTTACAAGTATATTTATATCCATTTTAATTGAAATTGTTGGCCTTTTGAGTTTAGTCACAAGTACATTTATATCCATTTGATTTGAAATTTGATGGACAATAATGGTTGTGATTTTGTGTTAAAAGTAAATGGTTTTTTTTTATACTTTTCTTTATATAGTATCCTCATACAAGTGCATGGAATAAGAGTTCTTTGAACTTTTTTATACTCTTTAGTTTATAATTAAGATCACAACTGCATTTATATCCACTTGATTTGAAATTTGATGGACAATAATGGTTATGACCTTGTGTTAAAAGTAAATATTTTTTTTGTATATTTTTTTTTATACAATATGCTCATACAAAAATAAATGGTCTTTTTGTATATTTTTCTTTATACAATATGCTCATACAAGAGCATAGAATAAGAGTTTTTGGAACTTTTCTATAATCTTTAGTTTATAATTAAAAAAATGACTGTATACAATGAGACCAATTTTTAGAATTTTTATACAAGGATGCCATAACCATTATTGACTGTTGGATGTGAAATCGGTGGTTGAAAGATTAGTTATTGATTAAACACAGTTGAAAATAAATTTTTGTAATATTATAGTACACTTCAATCTATTGAGTTTTATATCCAATTAGCTAAAAAGATTGTGATCTCGTTGTATCAAAAATAAATAATTTTGTATTACAAAATCTTGAAAGAAAAATATCATTAAAATGGTGAATACTCTTCAAAAATGAAGTACCAGATTAAATTAACATTACTTGTGGAAAATCTTTGCACTTATGTAAAGTCAACTCTTTTATTATAAATACCCAAAGTGCCCCCAATTTATGATTGAAGCCCCTCAAGGGCGACAACAATTTGATAATTTGGCTTACCGGAGTGACTTAAGCCGAATGACCCATGTCTGGTTCAAGTTTCAGACCTAAAAATTAAAATATTTAATTCCTTTGGAACCCAACACAGTTAAGGAGATGACTTCAATGCCCCTAACCTCTTTTGGAGTTCTAGAACCATAACAAAATTTTTAATAAGAAACATTTCCGATTTGAAACTTAAAACAAGCAAAGTATTGAAATCCTCGTACACCCATTGTGATCTTCTTTTTCTTTTCTTTTTTCCTTTTTTCTTTTTCTTTTTTATTTTTATTTTAATATTTTGAGGGCGTGGGGGAGAGGATTCACCCTTTGTGGTCACATTGGCTCCCACTTTATGTTTAATTCATCTTTTGCAAACCCATACTTTATGAAATATGACCAACTAGAATTTTACAGTTATATCATCTTATCGAAGGCATGAACAATCAATTTGATTATCCACGACTTGTGAGATAAAAATAATAATAGAAGATCCAGTAGCGGAAGAAGTTTGTCTTTGATATGTCACATTTGCATGAAAATATCTTTACATTTATGCAAAGCCCGATAATCTAGAATATCGAAAAAATCCATTTGATTCTTGCAGAAAAATATGGATTGCTTCTAACATCAACTGTAGTGTGTAGCAAAATCCTGGCCTCAGGAGATCATTTTAAAAGTGAGATAATACTAAGCTGCATGGAGCAAAAACTAGACAATTTCAGACAAATTGATTGGCCATGCTTATAGGCCCAGTGAAAAAACTATAGCTTGTATTTTCAGATAATATTGAAATCCAAATGAGAAGTTTCACCCAAACTGCACAATTGGCACCTTATTACTTATCATTCCTAAAAAATGGCAGTCACATTCACAAGCTAAAATGTTGCACATTACTAGGTCTACACAAAATTTCTTCTTTATTTAGATTATCCTTGTAGTCTCCGCAAATACAAGAAAATGATAATTAAAATAGAAAGTCAGCATCAGATTTACAAAAAAGGGGATAAAATGTACCAAAATGCCAATAAAAAACTATGCTAAAGAAACTGCATATATATAGCCAATAAGACCCACTACTACATGTCATGTAAAAGTACTTTCAAATTATATATATATAACCAAATAAACACATATATGCTCTCAATAGAAAGCCTAATGAAATCAGAGGTAAGTTGCAGACCTGCAACAATTAAACCCCGAAAGCAAGCTTAACTAGCTTACAAAGATGGGACTTTGGGGAACTTGACCTCTGGATTGCGCGTTGGCTGAAGCCACATATCAGCCACTACACGTGCCGAGATGCTCCACATCAAGTCCTGACCTTTCACCCCTTGCCCCTGTTTTGGTTTTCCCTTCCGTTGCTTTCCCAATCCGTTAGCCACAAGCCATTGAGCAGCTCCAAGCCTCTGTCTCTCTGAATCCCAAACATGGCGTTTGCCCGCACCCACCTGCCTCACCTTCAACCCCCCTAAATGAACACTCCCGACCTTGAGTTTCGGTCCATCCTCATCGTATCCGTGGCTAGTGGCTTGAACCAACACAATGAATGGTGCACCCACTTGCTCGAACCTTCGAACTGGGTCTCGAAGAATAACAAGGACCACTAAAGTGACAAGGCCACCATTTGGGTCAACTTTATTGGTCCACTCTGTTAAGCATATGGCCTCTGAGAGAACCTGACCTGGTAGATTTTGGAACCCTTTTCCAATTAGTGGGGATACATCGAATGGTGGTTCTTCTTCTGCTATTTCAGCTTGTATCTTTAGGCCTTCTAATGCCATGGCCTCAATTTTTTGAATGGCCATTCCTATCAGGCCCTTGAGGGGCTCGGGTTCTTCACCTGAGTTCCATATTCCGGTGGTTATTCTCTCTTTTCGGCTCGCAGACATGGCATTTGCTAGCTTCTTCACTGATGCAATTGATCGAGCCGCACTGGAGCTCGCCCCTTCTTTGTTTCGCCCACTTATAATGGCTGATGCTATGCCTTCAAAAGCCACTTGCTCAGCTGTTTTCCCAGTTATATCATCCATGCTCATAAGAGCCATAGCTTGGGAAATCAAGGGCTCCACTCCCATGGCTGCCATCTTTTGCAACACCTCAAAACCAGTGGTTCCAGGACTAACTGGCAAGACAAATGGCTTTGAGACCTGCATTGCTAGTTTTGGGGCTTCTTGTCTTGGGATTTCAAGGTTTAATGGATTCACTGAAGCTAGGAAACCTCCATCCTTTGTCTGAACAACTGGACCCAAACCTTTGCCCAAATCAGGCAAGAAAGTTACTGGGTTTTCTTGTTCATCTTCTCCTTCAAGTTGGAGTATGGGAATATCCTGAAATTGAAGCTTCAAATCCTTTTCTTCCTCCTCAAGCATTTGCAAGAATTCTAGCGTTACTGTCTCTTCATCTGCATCTAACCCCTGAGAAGAAGTATCAGGCACCTCAGTAGGGCCTTCTCCAAACATGGACTCCAAAGCTTTAATCTGTTTTGCTATGGAGTCTAACTCATTGAGCCTGTACTGGTGCAATGGGTCATGAACAACCACTTCCTTCACTACCTCGCTTGATCCTGAACCTTTGTCTGAGAGCCCATCATCCCCTTCTACACTAGCTTTGTCTGTGACTTCTTCGCTGCCCTTTGGGATTTCAATCCCTTTCTCCACAACATCAAATTCAGGCATATCATCACCATTATCAGTGTTATCATCTTCTTGGGTCTGTGAATTTTGTTCAGAAGGTTTAGGTTCATCAAGATTTAGGTGTTCGATTGGTGGGTATTCAATCAAATTAGGATTTTGAGATGGGGTTGAAGCTTCAGAGGACCTGTTAATTCGTGGGCTTCCATGACTAGGGCTCGATACACTGAACGAGTTCTTTGATTGCTTTCGAGCATAATAAGAAGAAAGAGAATTACCCATTCTCTCTGACCGAGAACTCTCCATTTGACTGAAAATCCCACCATCTCTCTCCATTATCTGAAATCCTAGCCTCAATACAAGCTCCCCACCTTTGGCCTTACCAGAGAGTGGGAAATTAGCATCCCATTGCCTAACTCTCCCACCATTAAAGCTTTTCTCCAGGGATTCCTGAACCAGAAGACTCAAATCAATGCAATTCCTCCCAAAATCGAGCTCTTCTGCATCGACTGCCACTGCATAAACCAAAAAGAGCCTGGACTCGAACCTTGGACCCCCAGATTTGCCACTACCATAAACATGGCATTTAATGAATAGCGTCTCTTCGAAATCAGCACAACCCTGCAAAACCCTAGCTGGCATGGTCTGAACAGCTCCTTCTCTGGTTTCCTGCTTCCTAACCCTGACAACCATTCGAAGGCCATTCATGGAAGACGAGAGGCCCTGGATTGTGACCACCTCGACAGAGAACAAGAGGCTAAATTTCTGCATTCCCATGTGAGACAAAGCTCTCACAGGTTTCCATTTCCATATCCCCTTCTTCTTCTCTGCAGCTCCATCGAGCTTTGATGCCAAGTTGCTCTGGTCAGAGACTTTTGATTCCTCTTTCTCCTCCTCTTGCTCAGGCTTTGGCCTAGACCTCCATGGACTCAAAGACGTACGCCTTGATCGGCCTTTGACAGCTGCTTTCTCCTTCTCCTCTGTATTCAACGAAACCACAATTGAAGTCGAAGACCTATGCTTTCGCCCCCCTTGATCAGAGCTAGGATGCAAAATCGCCACCCCATCAGTTTTCTCCTCTCTGTCAAGGTTTTCACCATGGGGATCCAAGCTCTTGTGAAAAATCCCCATCCTCTCTCTAGAATCTGCCATTTTCTCTTCAGCTTGAAAACCAACAATATCCGTCGAAGGCAAAGACAAGGAGGCGGCCCTTCTGTTGCGATGAGACTGGTAAAGCGAACTGCTCAGTGCTTCGATCTCTTCTAAGAGCTGACTGCTCGAGTTTTTGCGCCTTGTATCCATCGTATCCTCCGTTAAAGAAGCTCAAGCTAACGCCTGAGAAGAACTTAATGGCGTTTGGTGGTGAATAAAACTCTGAACCGCAACAAAAGTGGCACAAGATAGTGCCTGCAAAACAGCTACAAGGGTTTGGTAGACAATTAGAGTTTCGAAAGTGATAAAAGTTGGAGACAAGAGGGCCTGAGAAACTATGAGTGGGATTTGGTGGAGTATTTGGGGTGTAATAAAAGTTGCAGAGGAAGAAGATTTGAGGTTGAGAAGAGGCCATGAATCCCTTTGGGTTTTCAAGAGATTTAGGGTTCCTATCAACACAAATGGAGACAAAAGGGGGTGGGGTGAGAACTCAGTGGCTGAGAATTGGATATGGCGATGTCGTGTGGGGTTTGGTGTGAATTTATTTCAAAGGACCAGACCTGAACATTACTACCGGGAATACCCACTTATTTAGCCGAAATATCTCTTCTATCCTCCTTGTAATTTGAGCAACAGCGCGTGAAATTTTGGGTTCGTGATAATTCCTTGACCTGCAATTATCACCGTCTATCAATTAATTAGACGGTGCTCCAAGCCTAGTGCCCAGTCTCTTTCCATCATCGTACAGGGAGCTCATTGGACGGTGATAAGCCTAATCGCCATGGTCATGAGTCGGCGAAACAGCGAATGTGGGGTTTTTTTTGGTATTTGAATAAAGATTGGGTCATTTAGAGGGAAGAATAGTGAAAGGATGCAGTTTTGGAGCGTGGCCTGAGGCTGAGGATGGAGTTGCGTCTCATGGGGAAGCGCGTTTTGGGGGAAGAGTCGCAAGGTTTTCGTTTAGGAAAATGTTTATATAAGGATGCAATCTTATAATGTAGAATTACGGATGCACTTCAAAAATCCATCGTATTAATATTGAAAAACCTTTTGATTGATTATCTGGATATATATATGTATGACCATGAAAAATAAAATTATTTTTAAATCTCAAAAATAGTGTATTTTGCAACATATTATCTAGACTGTCCATTTTCAAGATTTTCATATGTTTATAGATCTATTTAGTTTTAACCATTTTTTAAATTTAAAATTTTATAATTGGATATAAAAATAGATTTTAAGATAATCTTAAAAACATTTTACATCAAAATTGTATACCATCATAATATTTAAATATGCACCTTACCTCTACAACTACGGATGCATCCGTATGCCAACTGCACCCTTTGGTGTATCCTGAGATCTCTTGCCTATTTAACGTCCATCTCTAATATAGATAATCTTAAAATCTTTTGCAACCTTAAACAATCCAATTAAATTCAAAACAATATCATTTATATTATTTAAAAAAATAATTTCCAAATTTCCCTAAAACTTTAGATAAAGGACGCAATTAGCATACAACCAAGCCCTCACATGTAGAAATACAAACTTGGCAATAAATATACTTTTAAAATATAATTTGATCATGATTTTAAGAGAATATATAATCCTTCAAATGGAGATCAAGAATATGAAAAATAAATAAATTTTGAAACTTGTAATAATAATTGTATTAAGAAAACATTTGGACCCATTTTTAAAAGGGAAAAGTTTATATAAGGTTGCAATCTTAAAATGTCGAATTACATATGCACCTCAAAAATCTATCGGAAATGTTATTTTAATGTTGAAAAACCCTCTATTTTGAAGATTTTCATATATTTATAGATCTCCTTGATTTTAACCATTTTTTGAGTTTAAAATTTTATAATTAGATATAAAAATAGATTTTAAGATATTCCTAACAATTTTTTAGGACAAAATTACATGTTATGACAAAATTTGGAAGTGCTTGGAGATGTCCCTTAATTGGATTATTTAAGGTTGCAACCTTATAGAAACCACACCCTTTTTAAAATAGATGTTTTATACCTCTAGACGTACAAATACGGTCCAGCCTGCATACCTCTAGAAGTTTCATTTTATTTTTCTAAGGAAAGAGATTATCAAAGGTTTGCACGAGAGAGATCGAGAGACGGCATTGAGTTTGTAGGAGAGAGATGATTAGGGTAAAAAAGATTTGTTTTCGAAAAATAAGTTTCCTATCCATTTAGTTAAAATATCATTTTCCTAAAAAATAAGAAAGAGATAATATCCTCGACATTAGTTTTCAAGGACATTAAAGGGCCCTAAAAGAAATTATCCAAGTATATTTCTAATAAAGGAAAAACAATATCGTTTTCTTTTATTTCCTGCAAATCATTTTTGAGCCAACAAATTAAGTTTGCATTAATTGCCAAGAAAAAAAAAAAAAGAAGGAGCTCCTTCCCTCTCCCCCTTTGGTGATAGAGGGAATTTCTGCAGAGAAGAAAACATCAGACCAAGAAAATATGTGTACACAATGCCTGAAGAACAGCCACTGAAGTGCTATTTTATTCAAGTACAACTATTTACATTAACAATTAATATTGATACTAAAAAAAGAATAGATAACAATTCAAATGAAGCAAAATATTTGGTTCCTCTACCCCAAATCTATGGGGAAAAATAGCAAAAATAAAATAAAATGAAAACAATAAAAATGAAAGAGGAGAGAAAAAAAATGTGGAATCAAACACTCAAAAATTGAGTTCCCTAGTTGGATTTCCGGGCTTAAGCCGCCTACGTCTCGAGCCTGGTTTCTTATCTCTTGCACGCTGCCTTCTGCTTGAGGTTTTCGCTCCTTTCTCAGGCAAAGGAGGGGCCCTTTCACTCAAGTTGTTATACAAAGATGGAGGATGGAGAATAATAACAGGTAATGCTGGCGGTTGTGGCCTGCTACGTCTACGCACATCTCTGTGATATGCCTGCAAAATCGATGGTGCCCATATTCACAATTCACAAATCTCTCTCTATCATGTTCACAAATCTCACTCTCCATCATGTTTAGGATTATTCTCATGTGTACGATCATGTAAGAAAATTTGAGCTATAAGAATAACAATTCATGTTTGTCATCTCCCTCCAAGGTAACAATTCATGTTTGTCATCTCCCTCCGAGGTAAAAATTCATGTTTGTCATCTCCCTCCTTTGAGAGGAAAGAAATCAAGAGATATGGTTTTGGCTCGCTACTACTAAGCTTGCATTTGGGTTTTCAATAGTTTGCTAGCAGACCCACAACGGGACATCGTCAACAACAAATTCTTAGTAGAGGAACAATCGCCCCAACCATCCATTGTTGATATCAGACAGCTGGGGAGCTGCTAGCAGCGTATTTGAAAACTGAATGCTAGCATTGTATCCTTTTCAATTAGAATCAGCATTCCCAGAAAACAACTCCATCCTCAGATAAAGCCCGCACTTTACACCGTGTGTATGCAAATAAGCAGAGTGATTAGGGAAAATTTGCAAAACAAATCTACCCTCAGACAAAGTTTGCACTTTACACTAAGTAAACACAGAATACGCATGGGGATTAGGGTGTAAGGTCCACAGAATTGTGGTTAGAACCCAAACCAACTCACCCACCATAGGAAAAGGGTGCAGATGTGTGTGTGAGAAAGCGAGAGAGTGTGTGCACCATGCAAGTTACATGATTAACGCAAAGGTGTTTGTGCATGTGATGTGTGAGAGAGAGAGGTACAAGCAGCCTATTTCTAAATTGTGCGTGTGTGGAGAGGGAGAGAGATTTACAAACAGGAATATTTCTAATCCCATGGTTCTCAGAAAATCAACAAAAATGGATTAGGATGACATCTTAAGGAGGAAGGACAGACCTGAATGACAAAATTCCGCCTCTCGCAATCCTGAAACATGTAGGGTACCCAGTTTGTTGCCGTCATGACTTTGTCACGCACGGTCGAGAAGCTGAGTTGGTCCCTCGAAGTGAACCTATCCACTTCATTGAACCAGTTACATGTAAACAGATTCGTAATGGGAATGTGCTCTCTTATGATAACACATCCTTCCGGAACATCTACAAGACACCCCAAAAAAATACAAAAGAGATTATATCACTCATCCATGAAAAATCTACTCTCTCTCTCTCTCTCTCTCTCTCTCTGCATGCTCATCAAGCACACGCGTTTTGAAAAGGGACCCCATCATTGAATCCACCATGAAACAGGAAGTTGAGATTCCCAATGACAAATTTGAAAGGGGGAGAGAGAAAGATGAGACATCCAACAACAAATTTAAGAAAGAGAGGGAGAGGAATTTTTAGTCTGAGTCATCTTATAAAACAGGAAATTATGAAAGATCCACCAGTTGCTCATATAACATAATTTCACAGAATATACGGGTGTCATTGATTTCTTAAAATATAATAAGGACCAGATTACCTAAGGAATATGATGAAATAATGTTACATGCAAAACCTTCTCTCTCATCATGAATTTGCCATGAAGTTTGCAATTTGAGATTTCCAACAACAAATATTAGAGAGAAGGATTTTTATTTTATTTGAGATTTCCAACAACAGATAATAGATAAAAGGAATTTTATTTTATTTTTTGACAAGTGAGAGAGATGCAAGATTTTGCCATCATTGTTAAAAGGAAAGAAGTATACTATAAACTTGAAATCCCAAAAGTACGCTTTGTACTTTACCTTTTGAAATCAACAGCCAGCAGTTTTTATATTTCTACACTAAATATCAAACCTACATGAAATATGTTGGCACCCACACACTCATAGAGATGAAAAGAACTACTCACCACTAATGATTGGAAGCTTGGCCTCTGAATATGGCGTCAAGCCCTCACTCCTGTAAAACTCAATTTGACGATCTATAGAAGAATTGTAATATTTCCCAGCAGCTTTGTTTGCCTCTGCTTCCTCAAACACATTGAAGCGTCTATAATGCTTCGAGATGGAAAAAGTGGCATTCCGCCTCAAAAGGAACCTGCAAATACCCCCAAGACCAAGCACCAGAGAAAAGCACATAAATGTACAAAAACTACTCAGAGGCTTTGCGCATACGCACGGGGGCGCGCATGCATGCCTGTGTGCACACACACACACACTTCACACGTGTGCACGTGCACACATGCAGACACAGACACACGTGCACAGGGTTACTCTTAGCGTTAAGTACCTTTCAATAAGTTCATATGGGTCCCGAACAAGTTCAAGCTTCCCATCAATCCATATAGAATACCTAGCATGAAGGAAAAGCCTGTGTAGAAGCAGCTTAGGAACCTGTAACATAATAAAATGGATAGGCTTGTAAGTTGACCTTACCTCAAAAAAAATATGAATAGGCTTGTATCAGAGGTGGCTCTCTGTTCAATCTTTTCATGCAAGTCCATCAAACCAGTAGCCAAATATCAAGGACCTTATCGTAGTTGTGATTTTACAAAATTCTACTGATTACCCCACAAATTAAACAAAGAAATAAGATATAAATGTCAATGTTTTTCAAATACAGCTGATACTTCATAATGCACCCCTATAGAAAGACCCATTCACTTCATAAAATGGTATATGTACACTGAACCAACCACGAGTTAGGGCATGGCAATACCTAAATGAGGAGTAGGATGTGGATAACATGCCTAGGGGCATTATTCTTCAAATATTAACAATTTGAAGTAGCTTTGCACTCTATACCGGAGGCTTAGTACCAAGGACAAGCCCAAGTATCTCCAACTTAAACATAGAGTTCCATTGAGCCCATCACTCAAACATACCAATTCTTAAAATTCCTAAACTTGTTCAACTTTCTAAATCATTTTGATGGATATCTCCAACCATGCCCTAATGGAGACACTCTGACTGTTGTATTATGGAAGGAAAGAAAGCACAAAGAGGATCAGATAGTACAGTGGTGTGATAGACAATGGCTAATCACCAAGCCCCTCTAAACTTTCAGTCAGTCATGGTTATCATCGAAAAAGGAGAGGGTACAAGCCCGAGGACATCTATCCACCTTAACTTTCTTTTCTCTTCACCCTTTGTTTCTTTTCTCTATTCTAGATTCCAAACCCTGTAAATCTCTTTCACTAGAGGGCTTCTCCTTCACTAGAAATCAAGGTTTCAAAAAACGCTAGGCGGCCCCTAGGCAGCCTGCCTGGCGCCTAGAACCTCAGGCGCCCTGTGGTGCAAGGGTTTCTTCTTTTTTTCCACTTTGGGGGTTCAAAAATAAGCCCCATAACATTTTTATACAAACTTGGGGGTCAAAACAATCCCCTCTGCCCCTTTGGGCTAATTTTAAAATCGAAAAAAGCCTTACAGCCCTGGGCGCCCGCCAGGTACAACCGCCCGTGTAGGGCCGCCTAGGTCAAGCCATGCAGTTTTTTTGGTCAGGCCACCTAGGCACCGGGCGGACTGTTTTTTTAAACCTTGCTAGAAATGCAACTAACAGCCACGACCTCAATGATCCCTCTCCCTCTAAAGAGGGGCTTCTATGGCATGGGTATCTTTCTTTCTCAACCCTTCATCAGAATACATTCGACCCTACAGTCACAGGCAGCCAAAATTTGACCAAGCCATTTAAATTGACCACCTGATTCTTTTGAATCACCTTAGCATTATAGTCCAATCACGTATGACCCTCTCCAGTGCACATCACAGTGCCAACAATGCTGCAAGACCCAGAACAATTCAATAATATGTTGGCCCAAAGGGCCCAAACACAATCTTTACGCATGTCTCCTGCTCTTATTTGAAGGTAAAAGACAAATCCAAGTCCAAATTCTGAACACGAAGAGCATTAAACAAGAGGGGATACTGTTTATCTTATTTATACATCAAAAGAGTCATCCTAGGAAAAGAGCCTGGGCTTAATTGGTTAGCGCTGGACGATTTGCAATGCTATGTCTTTGCCTCAATTCATATCAAGGGTAGGGGCCCTCTCCCCACTAACTCACCCAAAATACTTACCCAACAAAAAAAAGATTCATCTTTAAGTATCATTATATTCTGTATCATAGAGTCATGAATTCTCCATATACCCTAATTCTAGTTGTGAACTTCAATAATTCTTAAATTTTTTACGTTCAAATATATTGTACAAGTGGCACACCTCACAGCCATAAAAGCGCATGAATATTATCAATATAGGTACCAGGAATGACCCAATAAATTGAAATTTCAAGACATTACAAATCTATTTAAGAAGCTCAAATAAAATACATATCAACCTATGAAAGTCAAGAGCTTTCCCTCATAATAGATCCAAGATTAGCACAAACAAATACGGTGAAACCTTTCATCAAAAACATTGTTCATGCCCATAGTGTCATAGGATATGTCAACTGATTAAGTACTGCAATGAGACCATATTTCACTAATAGCACAAAATGGTCATCACAAAACTCAACGCAAAAACCAAGGAACAAATTTGGCCCTCCAAAATAGCTGCATCAATCTGTTGTCCATTTCTGAGAAAGTCAAATCCAGTCAAATAAAAAGTGTTTTCATTGTAAAAGAACCGGCATATATCATCCAATTAACTTAGAAGGTAGCATCAATCTTGAGAGAAAATAGCATCAATGATGTATAGACGATACAAATTATGGGGTGGATATGAGGGCATATTAATATACCATAAAATAAGCAACATGTATTACTTTTTTTTCGTTCTTTATTTGATAAGCCATCAGCATGTGCAAATGGACTGCATCAAGACCTATATGGTTGTCTAGGCGTGGAAAGAGAATGCAAAGCAGATTCCCACCCACCTTTCCGTTGCGTCTTGCATCTTGGTAAGGTAAATTTCGAACAACAACAATCCTCCATAGCCCCACCTTCTTTGTGTCATTCAGAATAGACGAGTTCACCATGAAATTTCGAGTCACCTCATCAATAAACATGTAAAAGCATACATGTCTCTTTGCAGCCTCACTAATATTCTTGGGCTGTTGAATTTCATCATAGTTGGCTGCCGGTAACGTATAGTGAGAAGAGAAAAAAAGAGATCAAGGAAAATGCAAACAGTACTAACAACCATGAGTACATGGGGAAAGTATACACTAGTCCAATGGACTATGGGAAACCATAGTACATTTGTAACATGACAATCCTATCAAGTGGTGGTAGATGTCAATGGAGAGGCCACTGGACCCACCAGAACAGGACATGACCCCAATGGAGGCACCCCTCCCCAACCTCCCCCTTCACTCCCCACTCACGGCCCCTGCTCTCTCTCCCTCCCCCCTCCCCTGCCTCCCTCCTCCCCCCAATGCCAAAGAAAAAAAGAAAAACAAAAAATAAGAAAGAAAACCGCTCCCCTCAAACCCACCCCTAGGCTTCCCCCCCCACCCCCGAAAAACCCCTCCACCCTCCCTCTACATCGAGGTTCGTTTCATTGCATGATCATGACCTTAGTGGACAATAGTTCTCCATAACCCATTGGACTACAGTATATTTTCCAATAAATAAAACAAAATAGTCTCTCTTTTCATCATACCAAATATGGCCGACGCGACGACTATTGGACCACATTGGTCCATTTCATAGAGATCTTCCTCATCAATGTCAAAGCCAGTGTAGTTGCCAGGTCTATTCCCCCCCACAAATCTAGACTCATAAGCAGCAAAATGCAAGAGAAACAACTAAAATTAGAATTGCATGCTTAAACTATCTAAGACAGGATGGAGAAGGTGGAGAAGAAAAAAGAATCTAAGGAAAAAATACATACCCACAATACACTTCCATTGTCTCCTTTATGTTGAAAGACTCATCCCTTTGTTTCAGGGAAGGATATCCACCAAAAACAGAGCCACCTTCGTCAACAGGGTTAACAGACTTTTGAGGCAGGACTATGTTTTGATCAACAACATAACTTAGATGCTTAAGCACTGGAGAATCAGAAGGTGTGGCAGGTACGAGGCGTATTGCCTCCTCGACAGGAACATAACATACAGGACATGCTAACAAGAACGCATATACAATATAAGTGCCTTGTGGTTATGTTAATTAAGCAAGTAATAAAATTGAAGCATAGTATACCATAATCCAGTGGAATATGGTATATGGAACTCAAAAGGAGCATCCACCATCCATTCCTGATGATAAAATTGGATTTAACTGTGCCAGGGTGAATTCCCTAATGAGCCCCAGTATATCTAACCTCCACCATCCATCATTAGAAACTGATCGCCGATGCTGCTTTGGATTCCCAAATATCATAGTCCATTAGATTTATGTTATAATTTTCCAAAATTATTAAAATAATTGAGAATGGAATTAAAGTATGCATGGAAATATTTCGATCTCAGGTAACAGCAAAAGTTGCTGAAGATTATAATGTAAGTAACCCCAATAATGTAAGCAACAAAAATGGATCCTCAAAAACAGAGATCAAACTCACGTCGTGGCCCTGTCCGTTTCTTATCTGCTGGTGGAGGTGGAAATGTAAAATCCTCACAGGGATGCCCAGGAGGCAGTTGCAATGCAGAAAAGTCAGGAGGAGGCGGGAGAGTTTTATTTTCTCTACTTTGTAATGGAATCTCAAATAATGGAACTGACGGTTTCTCAGCTAATGTATTCAATGAATTCCCATTGTTAATGTCAGGTGGTGGGACTAGTGGATTGTCCTTCTTAGTGTCAGGCTCAATAACAGTTTGGGGACTATTGTGGGTATGCACTGTGCTTGGGACTGGTGGATTGTCCTTCTTAATGTCAGGCTCACGAACAATTTGGGGACTATAGTGGGTATGCACTGTGATTTGCTCATGGCCCCTGAAAGGTTTCAAGGGTCGAGAAGGCCTTTGGCGCGTAAGATCCACTTCTGATGCATCATCCTCTGGTTGAGTATAAACAAGATCGGATCAAAATAAAATAAAAACAGTTCCAAAAAAAATAAAATCAGAGATTAAACAGCATTCGAAAGCAAGGAAACCAAGACACACAAATTTCTCCATGTGTGAAGTAAGAATATAGAAATTCATGACATAACAAGAAGCAATGCACTCCAAACTAAGTTCTAACCATGTGAAGAAGATAAAGAACAGATAAATCAATAAAATCAAGAACAATGAAATAAAAGACTGTTGCTAATGAAGGGCAGGAATCCACTTAGCAATGTTCTATATATCAGAATAAGCAGAAGCAATGGCGGGAAGAAAAAGAAAAAGGAAACAAATACTGAAGTAAAACATTAGATCTACCAACTAACAGAGCTTACCATTAACTGTATATCCAGTTAGTAAATAAAAGCAAAAAATGCTATTAAGTATAAAACCATTATGATCATCCAAAGAAGAAAAAAAGAAATGGGATCCACTCCATCAAAACCATAAAAGGATCCTCTCCATCAAAGTATCCATTGGAATCAAGTTAGACCTCCAATAGTCTTACCACAAAAATCTACCAATCACTTTTGCATATTTCTACATAACACAATAAAAATATATTTTGATGAGTATATACGTTTTTTGAGGAACAGTTCCACATTGTTTTGTAATTTAACAAGCCTTTGTGGTTAAAAAGCTTCTTAACCGAGTTAAGAGGCCACAAGAATACAACCATGAAATTCACTAACCAATTTCAGACCTAAATCAACAGTAGATGGCAAGAACTTGGTTGCACTTAGTTAACCCCAAAGTTTCAAAATAGCTGAAAGTGACCAAGTTCAAGGACTTCACTGAGCAGCGTTATAATCTCAATAAAATGAAATACTCCACAAAATGTTCTAATTTCAAGAGATTCAACTTCTTAAAGTTCTGACACTTCTCTAGCAACTTAAAACAATCACAAGATCATGGGCATTGTGTCTAAAACGGTCTAAAAATAAATACTTCAGATAATTTATAAAACTTGTAACAGGTTGTAAAACTAAAATGTTGTGTTAGGATCAATCCAGGATTGATAACTCTGTTACAAACTGAAAAATAAATACATTACAAATTCAGGCTATCATACTAACCACAATATGAATGTACAAAACCACACGTAATCATGTAATACAGTAAGAGAGAGAAAGAGAGAGACAGAGGGAGTCCAGGATTCATAACTCTGTCACAAACTGAAAAATAAATACATTACGAATTCAGGCTATCATACTAACCACTATATGAATGTACAAAACCAGATGTAATCATGCAATACAGTGAAAGAGGGAGAGAGAGAGGGAGTTACTGACCTTTATAGAAAGTGGACATGAGAGAGGTGACAATAACCAGAGAGAAGACAACTAGGATAAGCATTCCAGCCTTCCTCCTACCAACAATTTTGAAGATCCAATGGATAAACCTCTCCTTCTCTCTAGAGCCCGAAATGAGCATCTTTGAGGGCTTTCGAATAAAGTTGGGTGAATTATTCGGGACTGGCAAACCGGGACTAATCTTACTCTGATCATGCAGAGATCCATAACTACCTGTGCGTAGACCCAATGACCCTCCAGTCATCGTCCCTGCGCACACTGGCCTTTCATTTCCTCTCAAACGCAATCTATCTAAATCCCATCCAAATAAATTTAGAGAACCCCACCAAACCCACCTCTAAATTCATCCAAGGAAATAACCCAAAATCCGATCTATCTCAATCACAAAAACCAAACCCACCTCTATATTTATCAGAGAGAAAAACCCCAAGATCAATGGCGCACTAAATCAATCTCTCTACCAAAACCATCTCCAATATTATTTCAAGGACTCCAGAGCCACTGACTTCTCTTGAGTCCATTGCAAAATTGATCTATATACAAAACCCACTTTCAAATTCTGCCCAAAAAGCCCACCTTTTACCGCAGAGCGGATAACGAGAACACCTAACTCCAAATCTATCCCCAAATAAATCAATCTCTATCAAAATATGAACCTTAAATTTGGGTTACATCCAATCAATAGCAAAACCCAAAATCATCGGAGGCAAAAACCAATCTCCAATTCTATGGCCAGAAGGTAAATCTCTGTGCTAAATTTCAACCTGAAATTCGTGTGTTATCCCACTAATTAAAAAAACAAAATCTTCACAGTATTAAAATAATCTCTCAAACTACCAAAATGTGCAAACTTTCGATGATCCCAACTCAACCCAACATCCAAATCGAACCAACCATAAATCAAAAACTCAACAAGTAACCATTTAGGACCTCTGGGTTGAATGATGGGCTCGTTTTGCACTGAATAACAGGAGTTTTAGAGAGAGAAAAGATACCGACATTCAATTGAAGACAGATATACGAACCACTTACCAATTTTTACCATATTCCTTCCAAAAGTCCAATTCCATCTCGTTCCTAAGACAATGAAAGTAAATCTTCCAAGAGTGTCTCCTTTGTGGGGCTTTTACTTCTCAGTTTCCTTCTCTCTCTTCGTGACTCTTGGCAATGGGGCTCTTTGCCTTTGCAGTTATCAGGAAATTAAATTATTTATCTCCTTCCATTAAAACATACAAATCTCAAGAGATATATACAAAGCATTATGGCCTGAATCATTAGATGATATGCCCAATGTGCTTTAAACTACATGTAATTGTTTATTGCTATTTGCACCGAATTTTGATAGCCCAAACAACCTCTTTTATACCTACTCATCTTTTGGGTGTGAATTGAAAAATATGGGTAAAAACATTGGTCAATATTTGCATTCTCGCGGTATATTAATTTATTATTTTATGATGGGCACAAATCCATGCACTACAGCTGCTCAATTGGTGCGATTCATGAATTATTAGTGCACGCCATACAAATATGTCTTGGGTGCATGCATGAGGGATGGTATCATGCATTACACAAACAGAAACTGCAAACCATTTTCGTAGGGCCGGGAATGGGCGGGCCCGGCCATGATTCTAATGGGGGATGCCCTGGCCGAAGATGCCCTAGCCCAAGGTTAGACTCGCCCTATTAGGGCCTGATCTAGGCTAATCTATCTAAAGAAGAACGAAGGAAAGATAAGGAAAAAATGGGGTTGGATCAGTCCGGTTGTGGCCCTGGTCTAGGCCCACCCTAGCTCAGCCTCAGGCCAAGCCCTAGTTCTTCAAAGTCGGGCGTCCAAGCCCATTATTAGGCCTAACTATCTATAGGGGTGTTGATGGGTCGGGTCATGTCAAGGTTGCTTGGGTTAGGCTTGTGTGACCAAGACTGAACCGTATAAGGACCCAGTCAACTCCAGGTCATTGGACACAGACCTAGTCGAATCCAGGCGACCCAACCTATAAGGTTGGGTAACATTTTAAGTCAGGTGCGGGTCTAGATATGGTAAAAATAAATTTTATTATAAATATATTATAATAGACATACACATGTATATATATAGGGTGGCGTTAGGTTAAGTCAACCTTGAACCATACCCAACCCAATAAGGTCTAGGATGGAGCCAAAACCAAATCGGTAGCGGTGACAATGGACCTAGACCCGGACCCGACTTGAGACCCACTAGGTATACCAAAACGAGTTTGGGTATGGGTCTAACATTTGAACCTAGCAATCCAGGGCCGATATCAATTGAACTCGACCCATACCCGTAAACTATTGGAGATAAAATACTTCAAGCCCTATTCGTTTAGGTGTATTAAGGATTGTATACAATAAAAATTCATAATCATCTTCAGGACAAATAAGATGGCTTGAAATTTAATGGCGAGTTGTGACCTTGTTGCCAATAATTTGAGTATGGGTATGGGTCAACCTTTTGGACCCTAATACATTCGGGTTTGAGTTTGAGTCTAGTCAGACCCGACCCATACCCAACCCGTTGCCACCCCTACAAATCGAGTCAAGTCCATAACATTTGGACCCAAAACTAACTAGGGCTGAAAATGGGCCCAGACCCAACTAGGGACCCGTCGAGAATAACCGACCCATCACAAGTCCAGGTATGGGTCCAACATTTGGACCCAGCGGATCAGGCCAGGGTCCAAAACCTAGACCCGAATACTATTCAAGTCCGGGTTCGGGACCGACTAGACCCGACCCATACTCATAAACTGTTGGAGATAAAATACTTCAATCCTTATTCGTTTGAGTGTATTAAGGATCGTATACAATAAGCTCATAGTCATCTTTAGCTATTAAACGATAAATCAGCTTGAAATCGAATGGTGGGTGATTGTGACTTTATTGCCAATAATATGGGTATATGATGATAAAAAAAAACAGAAACTCATAGTAATGGTGGCAATGGACCCGACCAGACTCGGGACCTGACGGTTACGAGTATGGTTCAATTTTTGGACCGGACAAGTCGGGTCCGGGTCCAAAACTGGACCCGAATACTATTCGGGTCTGGGCCCGGGTTCAGGTGCAGCCGGATCCAACCCATACGCAACCCATTGCCACCCCTAAAACTAACCCATTCGGTCTATTGATTCAAATCCAAACCCACTTTGGGTCGACCCAACATGCCACCCCTAAGTGTACATGTCCTAATCCGAAACATGTCAAATGTGTATGTCTTGCATGTAGGGAAAAGCTTAACCTTATAGTGTAATAGGTGTTCCTCAAACAACCCTTTTTTTTTTTTTGAGGGGGGGGGGGGGAGGGGGGGGGGCAGATAATATGTCTATGTGTCACATGATTGCGTTTGAAATTTGTTTATACTGAAGTTCTTTTAGGATTTGCGGACTAGAAGTTTAAATATGTTTACTTTTGGTTCAAGAAAGTTGCATTCAGCTTTAGCCATCATAAGAAAACTTGCAGCCAGTGCATCACAAAGTTCAAAAAAAAACTTATTGGACTTTGAACGGCACATTTCCATTACACGTTTAATAAGAAAATATCAAAAGAAAAAAATCAGCAGTATACGGCAAAAATATAAATAGAAACAAATCAACAAAATACAGCAAAAATGGTCAGCTTAGGATGGAATGTTTAAGGTGAGCTTAGGGGGTGGCACTTTTAGTAAGTTCAACGGCCTCCACATTGCTTTTCTTGAACACATGCTGGAAATCACTTCTAAGCCCTCCAACTCCGGTCATTCATTAAAGCTCTACATCTTCGGGGTATAAGTGTTGGGTTTATGTGGTCTTTAAAGGCCTTATGAGTGTGTAATGAAAAACATTTATTATAGTGGAACATAAATTCTGTGAAAATGTGGTCCCTCGAGGATCATACTAAGCAAATGATGGTTGCTGATACCAGATTGTGCTTGACAATCTAGGTCAGTCGGTTGGAAAACCCAAGGTACCTGAGCATAAAGAATAAACCGAGAAGGGTTTTGGGTTAGCCCTTGATGAGGTCGGAGCATATACCTAGATGAGTGTTCCGAAAGACTGTGTGACCCTTGTGTGTAATGATAGGCCTACAGAGACGGGGGACAAATCCTCATCGATGTTCCATCACACGACATGCATATCGATAGATCGTTCGGGAAAGCCAGTTATCGATCTTTAGGTGAAGCGTATGCATGCACGAGAGAGATACCCCTATACGCCATAGAGCTGTGGGCGCATCATGTCGTGGTGACCTTGACTCGTCTCTAGGGGAGGACCTGTAATCCACAAATTGGGATTGCGACCCCTTGGCTCATTGGTCTGACTTTGGTGATCCACTAATAAGCCTCTGCTTGGACTGTGGGTCATGAGAAGTACTGGGTCAGTTTGATAAAACAAGTGTGGTTTGTAGTCCACAGTTAAAGGTGGAGTATCCCGTGATCGTTGATAGAATTCTTGAACCATATGGATTCACGACCCATCGTATTAATTTAATTGTGTTCATTTTATTATTAAATTATTTTAGATTTATTATTGAAATTTTTATAAGTCATTTGATATTTTATTTATTATTTTTGGAATTAAAAAAATGAAGTTATTAATTTACAAAGTTATAATGTTTTAAAATTCATTTTGTTTAATTTTAAAATATTTATAAAAAAAATACATGGGGGCTTATAGTGCACATGGGCCTACTATATGGGTATTAGGTGGGGCCCCACATGCCATACATGGGTGGCACGCCCCATCCTTGGATACCTTCTCTTGTTGTTTTGTGCTCAAGTTAATTAAATATGGTAAGTATATCTTGTAGCATATGGTCAAATATTGATTAGGAAATATTGACCATATCTTATCTTGATTATTGAAGGTATATATTTACCTGATATTATTTGATTTATCTTATGGAATATATGGGATGGATTATGCAATTTTATGGAATGCATGATATTTTAATAGATTTAACTTATTTAAATATATTGATGAGAAAATAGTTTAAGAAAAGGGGAAATAATGGTTCATGCACCTTCCATAATGTTGATGGCCCATCTATGGAATGGATGGCTCAGATCTCTCACCCTACAAGTCACCTTGATCAACGATCCATATTCAATCTCAAGAAAGAGGCAAACTATGGGAAACCCTAAATAAATCCTAAACTTAAATTTAACTATAAATAGGGGCAGTGGTTTAAAAAGCGGATCGATGACCCGGATCGGGCATCTCAAAAACCCATCCAGATCGGCGAATCGGGGATCCGGATCGAGAATTGGCTGAATCGGTCGAATTAAACCTTAAAAAAAATCTAAAAAAATTATTAAAATTCATTATAAATGTTGTTTTTTATGAATTCAATAAGAAATGAGGGTACTCCATTAAGAATTTGCATTTCTTTGCATGAATATGTGAATATTGATATGTTTTTTTCCTTCATGAACTACTATTTACCATTTAATTTACATCACACAAAAGGATAAACATAGAATTATCATGGATTAAGTATATCATCATACATGAACTACAATAAAACATACAATTTGTAACATACAATCTAAAAATAAAATGACACTGGTGCCATTGATTGAATTCACGTAACAATTCATTGACTCGATCTACAAACGAATCATCCAAATTAGTGGGCACCTGACTATACCCAAATCCCTGAGTGTTAGTGTTTTGTTGTGGTCCTAATCCAAAATCCCCGAAGCTTGTTCATCCTTCATGCTCACCTACACTATCGTGCTCATCTATACCCTCTTGTTGTTGGGACTCGATATGTGAATAATATGACTGGGATTGGGTTGCCTCAGAATCATCATCTCTCTCATTTTCCCTTAGACCCTCTTCCCACTCTCCCTCATTAGGTGCAATATCACCAATATCTCCAACGAATTGTGGATATGTTGGCGGGTTGCTTCATCTTTCATGCTGCTCATCACCTTCTTCAATATCTTCTTCACCTATAGCCTCAAAGAACGCTCTCTTGTGCAACACTGGCTCATCTTCTTCTATTACCCATTGTTATGATGTGTCTATGACAAATATTGTGTCCAAGTCTATCGGCCCATAGTCTTCAAGCTTCCTTATTATTTGTCGCTCTCAGAGGTTTAAGTTGTAATGAACGTAGACTAATTTATGAAGCTTCTCCGAAGCGAGTCGATTCCTTCTAGTAGTGTGCAATCATTGGAACGTACTGCAGTTTCGCTCACAACCACTAGCAGAACATGTCTGGGAGAGTACCTTGATTGCTATCTTCTTTAGGTGATGTGCATCACTACCATATATCTCCCACCATTCAGCTGGATTAAAATGCAAAAAG